GATCACCATATAGTTCATCATTTAGTATAGAATAATATTCTGTCAAATATTTATATAAATTATCAGGAATATTCACAATTTTATTAATCATCCTGATCATCTCTCCAGGATATTTTTCTGTTCCCGTGATTACTCTAGCATTATTGATTTTATCGGCCATATCTAGATATTCTATCAAATCCTTACTTTCAAAGTTTTCAGTCATTTTTAAACTTCCACATACTTTTTTATCTAAAAGTGAAAGAACTTTGTCTAATAGCGACTTAGCCTCACCTCTATTAACTGAATTTATTCTAAATTCTACTTGTGCATTTTTCATAAGGATCTGCATAAGTTCAGGTTCAATAGAATGATTACTTGTTGGATACATTCCTAATAGACCATTCATCTGTTCAAAAAAATAGCACCAATAAGCATATGAAGAACCATAATCTAGACAACATTGTCTTATGTGAAGAGACAAGTGAATATTTGATGATATAATATGTGGACCATAATGTTTCTCAATTAACTGTGCTACTTTTATTAGCCTATTATGTGCTTCATCTAGATCATTTTGCTTGACTATTCTGCTTATTAATGAATTACATGCGTAGACGAAATTAAAAATTATTTCTTTATCTTCAAGCTTTAACATATCCCACATGTATAGAATAGCGTATACTTGGTAGAATATCCTCCACTGATCTGCTGTAAATTGATTAAATCCTTCTGATCCATGTGCAACTTTTGATGGAATTCGACCAATTTCTGATAGAACTTTTACATTAGACATACGCTTTTTGAGAATTGTAAGTTGGTCTTTACTAAGTTTATCGTGATCTAACAAACATTGTTTTATTATTCATTTGCCGATACTTAAGAATAGGCAATGCATTGGATCGACCACCATAAATTTAACTGGATCAAAATATTTCAGCCGATATAGTTCTGACCATCTTATTCCCATTCTTTTCACATGGTTATCACGTTCTTGATTATTTCTACAAGATAACCATTGCTCTGCTGCTCTAAAATATTGTGAAATATCTACTGATTTAAACCAT